AAACCTTCCCCTGGAAACTTCCCCAAGGGCCCCGGGAACAGGATTGCATTCCCTCTTTCCAGGCAGCACATGATTCTGACATTCCTTCCATCTTGGCTTCCTTCCTTCCATTCAACAACCATTTAGTGAGCGTGTATTATGTAGATCCATCCCTAGACCCTGCACGTTCTAGAATGAGAAACATTCATCAATCAGTTAATTAACTGACATTCATGTTTTCATCCATTTTCTTAATAAACATGAATCTTTTGGATTCTCCAGGCCACGAGAAGCTCATTTTTGGCCTCCTTAGCTCCCCCTCCCCCCCAGTCCATCGCTCTGTTCTGTGGAGGTGGGGATGCTGGATACATGAGGTGTGATGGGGGAGTTGGACATGGCTTCCTCTCTGGCCAGTGACCGTGTAATAACTCTTTCCCCTCGTCCTGCGGGTATTGGAGGTCTCCTAGGTTCCTAATCAGTAAGCGTGTGGCAGGCCTAAGACCTGTTTCTGTCCCAAGTGAGTCTAATGTAGCTGACGAGTTAAAGCTCCTCCTTCTACAGGGACGTCTGAGGCTCAGAGAAGGGTAGCCCCTTCTCTGAGGTCACACAGCAAGCCGGGTTCCAAGACCAGCCTAGGCCTGGGAGCTCTTGACATCCCACCCGGGGTGCTTCCTGCTCGGCCAGGTCCCCCCACTGCTGGGGGCGTCCCTCCTGGGTGGGCCCTGCGGGTTTCTCTCCTCCTGCATCTGGCCCACAGGGCTGTCTGTGAGCAAGCCTCCTGGCTGTGTGCAAAAATAAACACGGCTCGCAGCTTGCTGGGAAAGGGGTGTGTTTGTGTGTGCGCTGGGTAGTGGGTGGTTTAAGGCAGGGCACCTGGTGTCCCATGGTCAGCAGGAGACCAGAAAGGCGGGGGCATGGAGGAGAAATGGGGTGGGGAGGGGTGGGGGGCGGGACCTGCAGCGCTCAGAGCAATAGGCCCCTCCCCTCCCCTTCGCCCTTGCCTCTGTCTGCTGTGAACGCCTCCCAGGCATCATCAGAACGGAATCGCTGATCATTCTCAGGGGAAAGAGGTGTGCGGGGTGCGGGAAGAGACTGGACAAACATCGTACACCTATGGATGAGGACAGTAAGGGCAGTGGGTGGGGTGGGAACCAGGTGGAGGGGAGCTATGGGGGCGGGAGGGGGGGAAGGAGAAACAATTGTAATAATCTGAACAATAAAGATTTATTAAATTAAAAAAAGAATTTGTAAAATTTTAAAAAAGAGAGAAAGAAAGAAAAAAGAACGTAATCACAATGGCCACAAAGACAGCAGGAACAGTAGAGGGTAATCTCTGTGTGCTCGCCCTCACCAGCCCTGTGTGCCACCGACCACAGATGGGAGAATTCAAGTTCATGTAGATCAACACGCTGAACCCACGCTCCTGACCCCAGCCACCTAACTGCGGTCTGGCTCAGCACCAACTACTCCCCACCACCCGCGTGTTAGAAAAGCAACTTCTCAGCCCCCCCCTCTACACCCCACAAATTGGAACCTGCATTTACAAAACCCCCAGGTGGTTTGAACACATTTAAGTTTGAGAAGCCCTAACCATTTTAGCACCCCAATTCCAATAATAGCCCGCCAGGGATAGCTATAGTCAATACTTGTGGTGACCTATATCCTGGGGGCTTTGCCCATAAAAGCCCATTGAATCCTCATCGACTCTCTGGGGGTAGGGTCATCACCCCCATGTGACAGATGAGACACCTGTGACCCAGAGAGGTTAAGTAATCTGCCTGAGAACACACAGCCTGTGAGTGGCAGAGGTGGGATTTGAATGCAGCTTCTCTGAGACCACCGTCCTCCCCGTTCCCGGCTTCCAGCCTCTCCTCCCTCCCTGCATGGCTCATCCTGTGAAGCTCTCAGCAGAGAGGAAGTCCATTTCCCCTTTTCCCTCCACCCGATGCAGCCAATGGGCTCCTGAGGGCAGACACCGGGCCACCACTGGTCACAGCGTTTCTGTCCATGAGCACAGCCCTCTCCTTTGGGGGCTGGGGTGGGGGGAGGGAGGGCAGACAGAGGACCACCTGTGCCAGCATCACCTGGGATATTTGGGAAAAGTACAGCTTCCTGGGCTCCTCCAGGTCCTAGGAAACTATAGCCTCTGGGATGGGGTCTGGACTCCGATAATTTCCAGGGATTTTCGTTGCCCGCTGAAATGGGAAGCCACGTGCCCATTTTACAGTCAAGGGAAACGAGGCCCCAAGAGTTTTTCTGTTCTGGTCCCGAGGCTGGAAGCTGGCTGGCTGGCACGCAGGCTTGGGCGCCAGGCGGTCCTGGGTTCGGGCTCCTGCCCCTCTCCCTCGGAGCCCAGCGCCACACCTGGGTTTGCAGCGGGTTGGCAAATGCAGCCCACAGACCGTGCGCAGCTTGCCAGCTAAGAATGGTTTTTACATTTTTAAAAGGTTGGGGGGAAATCAGGAGAAAAATATCTCGTGACGCAGGAACGTTATGTAAGATCCAAACTCCAGTCTCCACAAAAGTTTATGGGAACGAGGCCGCGCTCGCTTATTCGCGCACGGTCTGAGGCTGCTGCAGATGCAGAGGTGAGCAGTCACAGCAGGGATGGACTGGATGGCCCGCAGACAGAGCCGAAGAGAGCTCCCATCTGGCTAATTGCGGGATAGGTTTGGCAACCCCGGTCCAGAGCAGTGAGTCTCCAGCTGTCGCTGCATCGAAATCATGTGGAGGGTGATTCAGCTCATCGGTCGTGGGGCCCGAGAACCTGCATGTCCAATCAGCTCCCAGGTGGTGCTGATGCCGGAACCACACCTTGGGGACCCTGGCTTAGAGGGACTTGGGTCTTCAAAGCTGACACGAACCCCACCCTGGAAGCTCACAGCTCACCCAGGGAGCAGAATGGGCTTGGGGGGAAGAGAGGGAGGACTGAGGAGCTCTGACCACCCATCCACCCACCCACCCACCCCTCTCCCAGGCTGTCCTTCCCTGGAGTGGGCTCCCCCTGGTGGCAGCAAGCCTGGACTGCGCCTGGCAGTTCAGCTTTGATTGCCCAGCCCTCCATTTGGAAACACATTTCAAAGCCGTCAAAGTTTGCACATCCTTTCTCCTGGAGGGGGTCCACTTCGGGGGAACTGAATCCAACAGCAGAACCTGGAGCGGAGGTGGGGAAGCTGGGATGAGGCGCTGCAGGCAGGAGGTGGCAGACATGCAGTAGGGCCCGCCCACGCTGCTCTGAGAACTGCCCCCATCCAGAGGCTGGGGAACAGGGCATAGAGCTTAACACCGGGTTAAACAGACCTGGATCTGAATCCTAGATCTTCTATATCACACGGGCAAAGTAGCACCCCCTCCCTGAGTCTCAGTGTTCTTATCTGTAGAATGGGAACAATAAGATTAGAACGGTACTTTTTAAAAAAATCCTCATTGAGGATATTTTTCCATTGATTTTTAGGGAGAGTGGAAGAGAGAGGGAAAGACAGAGAGAAACATCGATGTGAGAGAAACACATTGATTGGTTTGCCTCCTGCATGAGCCCTGACCAGGCTTCAGCTCAAGGAGGAACCTGCAACCAAGGTATGGGCCCTTGACCAGAATTGAACCCGGGACCCTTTGGTTTACAGGGCAAACCAACTAGGGCAACAGTGGTTCTTGAAGAGTCACACAACCCCGCTCCCGAACAGTTGCCAGACATTTGCCTGAATAATCCTGAGCTGCTGTTATTGCTGCTTGTTGGCCTCAGCTGATTGGGCCAGGAGTAGCCTTGCTCCAAAGAGGACCAATCAGATTCCCTCTTCTGGGATCTGGGAAATGGATGCCACTTTCCTGAGGGTAGGGGCTAATCAGTGGTCAAGGATGTCGTCGGAGAGGAAAGCAACCCATTACCCCCACTTGCCCAAACAGTGATAGGGCCAATCTGTAGAGAGAGAGATGCAGGGCCCAGAGGCTCAGAGAGAGACATGGCAGCCCTGGCCTGTGGACATCTGTGTCTGGATCCCATGTCCACGGAGGTGTTTGTTCTAATGGGAGGGCTGGGCTTGTGCCAGTCTGGGGAGCTATTGGGAGGGGGAGCACTGGGGAGAACCAAAAGGGAAAGAGTCTTGGCTCCAGGATCAGTGAAGACTTTGGAGGGGGGCCCCATGACAACCTTGGGTGGGGATGTGTGACATATTTTAAAAAATAAATTTTATTGATTTTTTTACAGAGAGGAAGGAAGAGGGATAGAGAGTTAGAAACATCGTCGATGAGAGAGAAACATCGACCAGCTGCCTCCTGCACATCCCCCACCAGGGATGTGCCCGCAACCAATGTACATGCCCTTGACCGGAATCGAACCTGGGACTTTCAGTCTGCAGACTGACGCTCTATCCACGGAGCCAAACCGGTTTTGGTGATGTGTGACATTTTAAGCAGAAAACCCTTTAGAGGCTGGCCTAGACATGCTGCCAGGAAGGAGGTCCCAGGTCATCCGTAGGCAGGCCTGCCCTTGAATCCCGGCCATGCTGTGGAATGGAGGACACTCTGGCCCTCCAAGCCTCAGTTTCCTCCTCTGTAAACTGGGCGTGATGCACCATGTCTCCAAGGATAAGTTTGAGGATTTATGAGAGAAGGAGGAAAGTGTCTAGCTCAGTGCTGAGAGCATAGTAGGTGCTCAACAGATGGTGTTCCCTCCCCATCTCCCACCGTGTGGCTGTCACAGAGATGGACACAGAGCCTGGCCCTCCAGTCACCTCCAACTAGAACGAATTCCTGTTGTCAGAGGCCATTCATTCGTTCATTCATTCATTCATTCATCCATTCATTCAACGGGTATTCAAGCAGCATTTCTCAGCACCTACTACGTGCCAGGGGCTGGGATGCAGAATTGAATTAGACCACGGGCCCTTGGTCATGAAGAGTTTATTTGCTCATTCACTCTGCAACCTCCACGGAGACTGACCGTGTGAGGATCGTGCTGGGGGTACAGTGAGCATTGCTGGCGGGTGACGGGGTGGGGTGGGGGAGGAATCAGGGCCCGCAGGTCACGCCTCCGGGTTCGGGAAGAGCAGGAACCCGGAGAAGATGCTGTTGGCACCCTCGATGCCCAGCAGGGAGTTCCTGTCGGTGGCCTGCAGGAAGACGCTCTCGCCCTGCTCCAGCTTGAGGACGACGCCCCCCGTGGTGACCTGGAAGGTGCTGGGGACGTAGTCGCAGAAGGTGACCACCTTCTCCATGCGCTCCCTGCCGCGCATGAGGTTCACGCACAGGTTCCCGCGGGAGCTGGCGTGGTAGGTGAAGTAGTAGAGGCCGGGCACCCTGCAGGTGAACCTGCCCATGCGGGACTCGTAGTTGTTGTTCACGTTGGTGATCACGTGGTCGAAGCGGATCATCTGGTCCCTCCGCAGGGGTGTGTTGATCTTCCGGGCGGCCGAGAAGGCGACCTTCTGGGTGGCCTTGTAGTCTCCCGACTCGCCCTTGGGGCCTCGGGGGCCGGGGGGCCCTGGGGCGCCTTTGGGGCCCACGGGGCCCTTGGGGCCGACTTTTCCTGGCTTCCCGGGAGTCCCCGGGTCCCCCTTCTCTCCAAACTCGCCGTGGTCTCCAGCGAGCCCTGGCAGCCCTGGAAGAGCAGGGAGAGGAGAGATGAGGCGGAGATTGCTGCCAAGAACCAAAGGCGGGAGAGGCAGGGAGCCGGCCGAGTGACCTTGGCCAGGGCCCTGCTCCTCTTGGATCTTAGCCTCCCTCCCCTCGGTGAAAAGGAGGGAGGGCAGAGCACCTCCAAGTCCCTTTCCAGCCCAGTTTCCGAGCCTGTGATGTGCTCGGACTGACACATGGGGTCCCTAAGGACTAACTGGCCCTCCTCACGCCTCACCCAGCACCCCGGTCCAGGGCAAGCCTGGAGGCCGGTAGTGAATGAGTGCACACAGTCAGCCCGCTGTGCTCCCTCCCCCTCCCTCACGGCGGACACCCCTAAGCCATCACGCTGTCTTTCTGGGGGAACTTGGGCGTGGGCCTTAGAATCCTCCCACTCGGCCACGCCAAGCAGCCACGGCCCTGGCTTCGGCACAACACAAGATAAAACCTCTCTCCCTATAGCGTGGCAGCGCCCCGTGGCTGAGAACGTGGATTCGGGGCAGACACATGCCCTATTCGTTGTGTCGCCTCGAGTGAGTCAGACTCTCCGAGGCCCAGCTTCCTCATCGGTAAAGCGGGGGTGCTGGGATTCTGTGGCCTCGTGAGGATAAATGAGGCTATTTGGGGAGAGGGGTTGGCTATGGGTCCATGAGCGAATGAACTAGATTTCGGGCGTCGGGGGGAGGCTCTTTATGGCAGGAAGTCTTTGAAACTAAGGTGACCAGATGTCCCGCTTTTGGCGGGACAGTTCCGATTTTTAACAATTTGTCCCGCGTCCAGAGGTGTTTTTTTTTTTTTTTTTTTTTTTTTTAAAATACCGATTCTTTCTAAAAATCGGGACTTTTTTTTAAAACGCCTTGGGATGTGGGACAAATTGTTAAAAATCGGGACTGTCCCGCCAAAAGCGGGACGTCTGGTCACCTTACTTTGAACCCTGTGGCAACCCCACCGAAATGCCCTTGTCCACATTTCACAGGGAAGGAAGCAGCCATCAGGGAGGCGATGCCACTTCCCTGGGAGGGAACTGGGGCCCTGTGCCTGCGGGATGCCCTCTCTCTGCCTGGGTCTGGTGGTCGGAGATTCCCTGGTCTGGTCTCGGCCTCCGTATCTGCGGGGCCCCATGTGCAATGGGAACCAGAATCCCCTCCCTGCCAGAGGCTGTGAGGGCTCAGCCAACGGATGGGCACCAAGTGCTTCTGGAACCTCTGAAGTGGGCTCGAGCGGCAGGAGGTGGGGCCTCTATCAGTAACCCCTGTGTGTCCCCAAAGTAGACAGCACCTTTCTCTCCCTTTGTCCCCGGGGTCCCAGGGGCCCCGTCAGAGCCCGGCGACCCAGGAATGCCCGGGATGCCCGGGATGGACCCGGCCGAGGGTCCGGTGCAGTCCTGGGCCTGGGAGACATCAGGAGGACCCAGCAGCAGCAGCAGCAGCAGCAGCGCCGGGAGGCCGCCCCTCGGTGTCTTCATCGCCACAGTCTTCGCCGCTTCCTGCGTGGGGAGTTGGGGGGACAAGCAGATGGGGTAGGTTACTAACTACTGTGGGGCCGCCTCGCGCTAATGAATCAATCAACTAACGAATTCATTCATTCGTTGGCTGGCTCGTGGCTTCGTTCCGTCGTGCCCGTGTCCTCTGAGCGGGTCCTGCTCGGGGCGCTGGGGACACCGTGGAGCACCGGGCAGATGTGGCTCTGCCTTCACAGAGGCCAACGTGCAGGTGAGCAGAAGGGTTAGGGTCGGGTGACGGGTGCTCTGGCAGCAGGGGCAGCGCCCGCCTGGAGGGAGAGGGACTGTGCTGGGGTGGGAAAGGACAGGTTTGGGGAGGGGAGGCCTCTCATCAGGAAAACATTGTAGATGTGGGGGGTGGGGTGAGGGAGGGGAAGTGTCTCTGAGAAGTGAAATTTAGGCTGGGACCTGAGAGGACAGAAAGGACCGAATGTTCCGGGAAAGGATGGTGGAGGCAGAGGCCAGAGGCAGGAGAGAGCCTGGAAGGGGGAGGACCAGCAGGGGGGAGAGTGGCCAGCAGAGAGGGAGCGGACGGAGTGACCTGGGGAGGGGGGGCGCCAGGGCCTGCGGCTGTGGTCTGATCAGACTTGTTGCCGCTGCGGTCTGATCCTCATAGCATTCTGGGGGAGCGGGCTGTGATCATTTCACCATCCCGCGGATGAGGAAACGGAGACTCCAACATCAGACAGCAGCCCGCCCACAGTTACCTGGGAGTTTGTTACGGGCGGGGCCGTGGCCTAACTCCTTCCATCTCCGCCTCACGCGGGCCAGGCCGGCCCAGAATTTGGCACACGGAGGCTTGGCGGGGATCAGAAAACTAGCCTCACCCCCTTCCTCTGGTTCCAATCAATCCATTGCCCAGGCTCCTGCCTCATGCCAGGCTCTGGGCTGGGAGGCTGCCTGGGGCTGTGACCAGGGCCCAGGGACCAGCGTGGGCTCTGCCCTGCTCAGAACAGGGCGAGTCAGGGCATCTGCTTATTTTTAGTTTTGAATGAGCATCAGCTCCCTCTCTTGCTGGAGGTTTTACCAAATGGTAGTTTGACAACTCGAACAATCCGTGCGTTAGGCACTTAGCGGGCACCAGGCTCTGTGCCAAACCCTCGCGTGCCGTTACTGCATTGGATTTGGTTCTTACAACGGCCTCTCGAGAAAGCATCCCTGGTTTCTATTTACAGACGAGGAAACTGAGCGTGGAGAGAGCGAGAACCTCCATCAAGGTTAGAGTTTCCCTCCCCCTCCTTTCCGATCCTCCCCTCCCCCCTGTGCCCACTGGACCTCAACCTCACAGGTGTTACATCAAGAGGCTGCGGTACCTGGAGGTGAAAACCTGGGCTTTGGGGCCTGATGGCCGGCAGGGGGAGCTCATGCACCGGCTGCACCGAGAGCTGTGCTGGTCAGCGGGTGCCCAGTGAAGGACGCTCGTATCACTGCTGTTACTGGTGCTGTGGCCGCAGACACCCCCGTGGTGAGGGGAGGGGCCTGGAGGCCGTAAGGAAAGCAATGCCAGGTGCACACAGGCCTCCTTAGCTCAGGGCTGCAGGCTGGCCCCTTCTCTCTGGCCACCGTGTCTCCCACCAATGGGGCTCATACTGATCTCTAATTCACAGGGCTGGTGGGAGGACTGGTGAGTTAGGGCTTACGTTGGAAACGCTTATTGCATATTAGCTATTTTTTTAAAAAACAAAACAAAAACGATCACCATCATCTAAGAATCCCCCAGTTTGGGGACAAGAGGGGAGATGGTTGGAAAAGTAGAAGAGGATCGGTCCCTTTGAGGGGCTGGGCTCAGAGCGAGGGGGTGGGGGCAGGGAGGGGAGCAGGTCCTGAGATTTGATGAGACTCAGGTTTCCTGGGGAAATGGAGGTGGGTCGGGGCAGCGGGAAGATCTGAGTTCTGGCTCATTTAAGTCTCAGACCAGGATGTAGAACTCATCTGGCCTGATCACCTCCTGCCTTCACCATCATCACCGCCATCAGCCTTGCCCCTTACTCTTGTTTTTTTTTTTTTTTTTTTCCTGCATCACTGACCCTTCCATCTCCGTCCTACCCAACGGCGCCTTGATCCCTGACTTGGAGTCAGGCCCACTTGACCTTGAACCCTTCCCCCTCCTGCTGCTACCTCCCTGCATGGCCTCACACAAGAGCCCGGACCTCTCTGGCAAAGTTCCTTTCTACCTGACAGGGCGGCCAGAGGATTAAGTGAGACGGAACCTATAGAACAAGAAGGCCCCTGGTGCGGGGCCTGATCCCACCCCCTCCTTTCCAAGCGCCGAGCTCGCTCAGTGCCAGCTCATAACCAACCACCCCTCACCTGCGAGAGCCATGATTTCTTTGGCAGAGTCATGCTGAGCTTTCTCAGAGAACGCATGGGAATAAGAGGAGGCGGTGTTGGGGCTGCTGGGCTGGGTGGAGGGGCACCTGGGTCCTGCCATCCGTCTGCCTCTGACATCTTGACCCAGGTAGTAGGCTAACCACTGGGTGACCTTGACCTCCGTTCGGGCACAGAAGACCCCTGACAGGTTCTGATGTATCCAGCTGAGAGGTACAGGACTTGCCCCAGATCCTCACCAGCACTTCAGAGGCAGAAGCGGGACTCACCTTATGCCAGTGACTCCCATTTGAGACCACCTCCCCATCCCCTGGGCCCCGGGCAGTCAGGTCTCCAAGAGATTCAGCTCCGAGGCCTGGGCCCAGGCAGGAACCCAGGGGCTCCCAGGCAGGGGGTGCCAGGTCTGCACTTTGGGAATCACCACCCACCACCTCATGGGTCCCGCCGGCCAATCCCCCAGGCACCACGCCCCCTCCTCACCTGGGAGCCTGGCGTCCTGGGAGGCCGCTGGCGATGCCGTTGGGCCGGGCAGCAGTGGGGCCAGGAGCCGGGAGCCTGATGCTCTCAGTCCAAAGCGGAAGTTCCGTTCCCCAGAGAAGGGAAGGGCCTTCCCCTGGTGGCCCTCTCCCCCACCCCCGGGGCCCGCAGCCCAGCCCCCCTCCTGTCACCCAGCTCTCACCGGGTCCTGCTGCCCTCAGTCAGTTTCAGGTCCTGTTTCTGCCATCGGCAGGGCCTTCCTGTAAACGGGGAGGACAGTGGTCAGTTCGGTTTCGCCAGCTCAGCAGCCGTGGGGAGGACAGGCTGTTCTGGGGAATGTCCACAGCGGGTGGGGTGGCTTGGGGCCAGGGCCTCTGACCTCATGGCCTTTAGGGGAACAGGGATGTTCCTCAATGGAGCGGAAACATGGCCGGCCTGGGGCCTGGGGCCTGGGCGCTGGGGTTGAGACATAAACTTTGATTCCCAGCCTGGCTCTGCCATGTGGTAGCCGAAGGCTCTCAGCCAGGGGAGCCCACAGGAGTCCCATTCCCTCCGTCACATGGTGGGACCATAATGCACCTGCTCCAGGGACTGCGCAGGGTTGGGGCGAGGCTCAGGGGGGACAGCGGGGGAGGTCAAGGGCAGACCACCTGTGAGTTAATATCACACCACGTCCCAGGCGTCTCCTTTCTGGGATCCTCTTCTCTGCTTTTTTCTTTTTTTTTTTTTCTTTTTTTTTTTTTTTTTCTCATTCTGCATCCCAGCTCTTTCCCTGTCTTCAGAAAATAATCTCATCGTGAAAAATGAATTTTAAATGTGGTCATTACTTATTGATACCCCTCCCTCTGCTTCCAGCGGGGCGTGAAGCTGAGGGCAATTATAGGCACAGGCAGGGGCCTGTTGCTTGTTTTTTTTTTTTTTTTTTTTTTTTTTAAATTTTAATATATTTTTATTGATTTCAGAGAGGAAGGAAGTGGGAGAGAGAGATAGAAACATCAATGATGAGAGAGAATCATGGATCGGCTGCCTCCTGCACGGCCCCTACTGGGGATCCAGCCTGCAACCCGGGCATGTGCCCTTGACTGGAACGGAACCTGGGACCCTTCGGTCCATAGGCTGATGCTCTGTCCACTGAGCAAAACCGGCCAGGGCAGGCCTGTTGCTTGTTGATCCGGGAATCACACCAAGTTCGAGCTGGAGAGGGCCTTGGAGGTCACCCAGCCCATCCAACCCCTCGTTCTAACTATGGGGTCATGAGGCCTGGGTGGGAGACGCTTGCCGTGAGCCTGCAGGTGCCCTGCTCTGGGAGACTGAGCCGCAAGCAGCCCAGCCTGGTCCCTGCCCCCAGGGGGCACCCCTTCTACTGGGGAGACATGGCACGTGGTTCTTGCTCCCGTGTGGCTGCCGGAGCCCAGACCTCATGCACGTGGTGGGTGTGGGACTTAGCAGGGCTCCCGACACCGGCCAGCGGCCCTTTCTGCGGCTGCGTCTCAGGCCATGGGGTGCCCGCTCGGGGACGGTTGCCCGGAGGCACAGCAGCTGGTGCAGGTCAGGGGGCCCTTCCTGACACCTGTGCTCGGAGATAGAAAACTGTTGGGCGTGTGGGTGCTGCTCATGGAAATGGTGAACGGTGGTGGGTGGCAGGGACAGAGCAGTTCGATAAAACCAAAGGTCTCTGGGCGCAGCCAACTATGGACCCAAAGGGGCTCAGGCCTGGGTGTGGAGGAGACCCGGGCCTGGGTGGATTCTGGGCAGGGAGAGGGAGTTGGCAGGTTGCAGGTCCAGGGGTCCGTCTGAGGGTTCCTGAGGTCACTCGGTGGCTGATGGTAATGGGAGAAGATGAACTTAAACCTGGGGTAGAATCTGCAGGGGGAAAAAACCCTGGCTGGTTGCTCAGTGGTTAGAGTGCCATCCCGCAGAGCGAAGGGTCATGGGATCGATTCCCAGTCAAGGGCATGTACCTCGATAGCAGGTTTGATCACTGGCCCCGGCCTAGGCTGGTTTGGGACGCAGTGGGGGAAAAAAAAATCATTGGGTGATGCCCCAGCTGGTGTGGTTCAGTGGATAGAGTGTCAGCCTGCAGACTGAAGGGTCCCCGGCTTGATTCCAGTCGGGGGCACATGCCGGGTTGTGGGCTCGATCCCCAGTAGGGGCCGTGCAGGAGGTAGCCGATCCATGATTCTCTCTCATCACTGATGCTTCTATCTTTCCCTCCCTCTCCTTTCCTCTCTGAATTCAATTAAAAAATATTTTTAAAAAATCATTGGGTGAGGATTTTTTAAAAAAAGAAGAAGCATCATGGCTTCGGAGTCAGCCTCTCCGGAGTCTGAATCCCAGCTTTGCCTTTTTCTGGGTATGTGGCCTCAGGCGCATTTACCGATCTCTGTTTTCCCATCTATGTGCTGGGGGCATGGGCACCCACTCATGGGGTGGATGTGGGGGGGCAGTGAGGTCACCCTGCATATCTGGGGCCCAGCAGAGTGCCCAGCCCTTGGTGGGCACAATGCAAAACTGGGACAGTATGATTTATATGAGAAGACAGAATTTTCGGAGCCCGGGGATGGAGGAGCCATGCCTGGATGGGGGGAGGCCTAGACTAAGGATCAGGAGCAAGGGGGTCTGGTCTCTGTGCCGCTGGAATTGCTGGCTTGGTGGGAGAGACTCCTGACAGTTTGGGGTGTCTCCTTCTGGCTCCTGTCCCACCCCCATACCCTCTTTTCCTGCGTCCCATAAAGACCCTCCCCTGGTCCCTCTCAGCCCAGCAGACAAGCTGGCACTTTCAAAGGCCTGTCACTTCTGACAAAATGACAGCAGGGAGATAATTATGGAAATTGAAATGGCACGAAATGGTCCTTTCCAAAGGCCAGGTTCCTGGTCTGACACCGTGGCCTACAAAAACGGCACATTGATTTTTCAAACAAGAGAGAAATGAGAGGAAAGATGTATCACCGTGGACTGCTAAGTGCCGATGGCGGGAGCTGTGGCCGGAGCGGCCCTGTGACCCTGTGACCTGGCTGTGTCCCTGCCAGAGGCACCCTGACTCCGTGAACCAGGCCGGGCTCTCGGCCCCGGCCTCTGTCCTCGCTCTCTGTGTGTGTCTTTCCTGTCCCTCCTTTCTGACTCACACTTTTCCTGCCCCTACTATGTGCAGGCAGGTGACAAAGCAGCCCTGCCTCAAGGATGCTTCCTGTTCAGTTGGAGAGGCAGATCTTTAAGTGAATAAGCGTCCATAAGCCAGCTGGTAGATTGCGTGTATTGGCCTTTCCTGGCAAACCGCCCACTCACCCACAGCTGGGTCTTCCCTGAACCTTTATAAAAAAGCCTCGGGTCCTGAAATCTGTGTGGTGTGTGTGTGTGTGTGTGTGTGTGTGTGTGTATGCGCGCACGTGTGTGTGCGTTCCGTAAATAAGTCTGCAGGTAATTTTATTGCATTTCCAGGTTTGGGAACTTGGACTTCAAAGGGTCACGTGTTTGTGGACCAAGTGTGTGGAGGGCCCTGTGGGGACACAAAGGGGAGCATCAAGGAAGGCTTCATGGAGGAGGTGGTCCTTGTGTTGACTCTTGACAGCATCCAGGTGACGGAGGATGTGTATGAGCGGGTGGGTGGGGGCTCCCCAGGATGAAGGAAGACCGCGGGCAGAAGTTGGAGGTAAAAACAGCCCCTTTCAGGAACAAGAGTGGGAAAGTGGATGGAGGTGGAGGTGGAGCTGAGATCAAGCCGCTCCTAGTGCAGTCCACCCCAGCCGGGCAGAGCCTCCCTGAGCTCTGCGGCTTTGTGGGACCTGGCCCGGCAGGTTGTCGCAGGTCTGAGTGGGTCTCCCTGATCAACCCCTTCTCATGGTCAGTGAAAGCAACGTCGCTGACAGCCTCTGGGTCCTTCAGCAAGGATTCGGGGGCTGAGCCTGGCCGCCAGGAACATCACAGTGAAGTCCTGACAGCTCGCAGGCGACGGCCAGGGCTCCCAGAGTCCTGAAGATGTCGAAAGACAGATTCTCTTTCTCTGATTCAGAATGGTTTCATGCTGACCTAGAACTTGGTTATGACTGCTAACTAATTTAACAGGTTGGTTAGCATCGTGCCTGGTGCGTAGTAAGTGCTCAATAATGCTAGCTATTGCCCGGCTGGTGTGGCTCAGCAGCTGAGTGTGGACCCATGAGCCAAGAGGTCAGCGGTTGGTTCCGGTCAGGGCACATGCCCAGGTTGCAGGCTTGACCCCCAGTAGGGGGCATGCAGGAGGCAGCCCATCATGATGTTTCTCTCTCACCCATGCTTCTATCTCTGTAGCCTTCTCCCTCCCTCTCTCTCTCAAAATCAATAAAAACATATTTTAAAAAATAATGTTAGCTATTACATTCATTTATTTACTCTCTCTTTCATTTTTCCACTTATTCATTCATTCACTCATCCATTCCAGTTCACTCACTAATTCAGCACCAGTTCATTACACACCTGCTCTTTGTCTATGCTGGGCTTACCTGCGCCCAAACCCCTCCTGTGATTGAACTTAGGTCAACTTAAGTCTGGGCATCCAGACACACTCCTGTGTACCTGTGCACTGGTGCCTTCCAGGACAGCAGTGCCGCTCACCCAAACAAGGGAGAGCCGACGGCCCCTGGGCGACCCCTTGTAGCCTCAAACCTGCTTCTCCAAGGTGGCCGTGAGAAATCAGAGCCACGCGTATTTATCGATTTAAATCATTTATTTGTATACCTCTCAGACTTCCAAGACTTAGGGGAAAGAATGATAACAGGGAAGGTGTCAGTAAAATGTCAAAGGAGTGACTTCTGCAGGAACTCAGAGAAGGGGTGGCAGTCAGGGTGGGCTTCCTGGAGGAAGCGTCCACGAGGCGGGGAGAACGGCCTGAGCAGGGACCCAGCAGAGCCCCTGAGAGAGGTGGGGTGGCCTGGGGCTGGGGGGCAGGCCTGCCCCCTAGTCGGGGAAGAGCAGGAAGCCAGAGAAGACGCTGTCGGAGCCCTCGGTGCCCACCATGCCGTTGTAGTCGTTGACCCGCAGCCACACCTGCGAGCCCTGCCGCAGCTGCAGCAGCACGCCCCCGGAGCTGACCTGCTTGGTGTTGGACATGTGGTCGCAGAAGGAGGTCATCTGGACGTCGTCGCGGTACAGCTGCACGCACAGGTTGGCCGTCTGGGACGTGTGGTGGACGAAGTAGTAGAGGCCGGGGACCTTGCAGGTGAACTTGCCCGTGCTCGTGTTGTAGTCCCCCTGCGGGTTCGTGATGACCGTGTTGAACTTGATCAGGCTGTTGGAGGCCGGGTGCTCCGCTGTCTGCCGCGTGACGGTGAACACCGACTGGTGCTTCTGCTTGTATCTGCCCTCCTCTCCCGGCTCCCCGTTGGGGCCCATGGTGCCGGGAATGCCCGGCTGCCCGGAGGCGCCCATGGGGCCGTTTTTCCCAGGAAAGCCAGGCGTGCCGGGTTCTCCCTTCTGACCCTTGGGTCCTCGGGTCCCAGGGATGGCTGGGATTCCTGGGGAGAGAGCAGGTGGGAAGTGATGGGGCAGGGGACGGGGCAAAGGGACCCTGGGGCTGTCCTCCAGGGACACATTCCTGGGGTTTGTTCTCTGAAACCTCCTTCCCCCAGATGTGCTGTCCACTGGGAGCAGTGTGCAGGGAGTGAGGGGGGTGGCCAGAGGGGAGGCAGACTCCCTCCCACAGACCTGCCCTGAGAACTCGGTGAAGGCACTTGTCTCTTGGCCTCAGTTTCCACATTCGTGCTGGAGCGGGTAGGAATCACTAGCTCAGGAGTGCCCAGGGCAAGATTTCAGAGTGTCAGAGGCCAGGACTGTCAGCCCATGGACAGCACATGGCCTCAGAGGCCATCTGTTGGGCCTGCACGACTTTTTTTTTTTTTTTTTTAAACACTTTATTTAGAGCCCTACGTGAACAAATTCAGGCCTCACCCAGAAGCCTAGGTCCTTCGTTTTTCTTGACAAAAATAAGAAGCTTGGTCAAAGGGCAGATTTCCCGGAAAGCTCATGCAACTTGTTTCAGGTCCCGCTCACTGGCATTGGCCCCTTCGAGGCCCTTTGCCTGGTTTTATATTTATAATTTTTTCAACATTTTTATGTTGAAATAATTATAGATTCAAAGGAAGTTGTAAAAAAAAAAAAAAAAAAAAGTCAGGAAGGTCCCATATGCCCTTCACCTAGCTTTCCCCAGTGGCACATCCTGCAGAGCTAACGCACAACATCAAACCGGAAAATCGACCTCCGTGTGATCCACATGGCTCCCCTTTCCCATGCGCTGTGTGTGTGTGTGTGTGTGTGTGTGTGTGTGTGTTTGTGTGTATGTGTGTGTGTGTGTGTGTGCATGTGCGCGCGCACGTGTGTGTGGTTCTAATACAATTCCGCAGCATGTGTAGGTTTGTGTAGCACCCCTCCCTGCCTTTCAAATGCATCCCTAATTTTGTATTACTTTTCTTAAACAGGGCCTTCGCCATTTTATAAGTTGCGGAGCCCTACAAAACCTATATCTATTCCTCTAGCCAGCTTCGCATATGGGAACCACTGGATGGAGCCAAAGGGACCCTGCCCCTTTAAGGGGGCTGTTCTCTCCAGCTCCCTCAGCCCCACTCAGCCCACGTCAGCCCCTGGTTCACCTTCTCTCTGTTGAAGATGAGGTCACGGAGGCCAGAGGCTCGGCCGAGGCCATGGAGCTGGTGTGAAGCGGAATTTAGACTCAAAGTCAAGTCCGGCTGAGTTGCAGCCTGATTGTCTGATTCTCGGGTGTGACCGCCCTGATCATCTGCCCCTCCGTGAGATTCGTCTCCCCTGGTCCAAACCATGATCATCTTTTAGGGCTTGATGCCGGTCTCCTCTTCCAGGAAGCCCTCCCTGACCACCCTTGTCTGCCCCCGTGGCTGCTTCCTCCTCTGACTTCCTCCTATGAGGGGGTAGTCTGTGCAAGCCCCTCTGTGACAGAACCTCTCTGACTTGTGTGCCTTTTAGGTCCCAGGGTTAGGAGTGGGGGCTCAGGACCCAACAGATCTAGGCTTCAGGCCGTGTGACCCTGGGCAGGCGACCTCCCTCTGTTGACCAGTTGAGATAAGGGCATAATGGGGGGGGGGGGGATCCCACCGAGCTACTGGAGAGTGGGGTGGGAGGATGCAGGCGCCTCTCAGTAAGGACTCAGTTATGTCAGGGCCCTGCCGTGGCTGAGCAGGGCCCACGCTCATCTTTTGGTTGGGAGGGCAGGACTCCGCAGGGGGCAGGGGTCTGAGAGGCAGGGAGAGTTGCAGTGAAGGGAACGGCCTGTGGAGCTGGACAGGATTCTACTGTGTGACTTCAGGCCGGTTACCCAATCTCTCTGAACCTCAGCTTTGACACTTATAAAATGGGAGTGCATCACTCCTTCAACGGGTTTTGGCCTCAGTTTCCTCATTTCCAAAGGAGTTAACAATTTTATCTGCGCCATTTGAAACCGGGCCTGGCACAAGTAGGAGGTCAAAGATACAGGCTCCCCCAAAATGGCACCCCCAGGATCCTCACGCAGCTCACCCCGAATTGCAGACTCCCTTCTGGGATGCTGGTAAAATTCCACTCCATTGCCAGGAGGGAAGCTGATAGGGAGGGAATTCTAAGGACATTCCTCTCCACGACCCCCACCCCCACCCCCAACCTCTGCCTCTAGTCACCTCTGCCCACCCCCACCCCCGCCTCACACGTGCCACCTCCAGACAAGCTCTGCTTCCCAGATAGGCACCTACTTTCAAACGAGGCACCAGAGACTCCAGTCCTGCCCAATGCCAGCCCCCCGCGTGTCCTTAGCCCCCTTCGCTCACGCTGGAGCTTGCCGTGGAATCTCCGACAGGAGGTCCTGTGCCTGTGGCCCTGACTCCGCTCTCCCCACCCCTCCAACTACCAGATCGCAGGGAGCACAGATTTCTGATGAAAACAGTGATAACAACAGCAGCACCTACCATAGCCTACACATGCTGACCACAGGCTTGGTGCTATTTTATATTTAAACATAACCACCATAGCATCCCTGCGCAGTAGGCACTGCCACCCCCCATTTTACAGGTGGGGAAACTGAGGCTCTGGCTATTAAGCAAGTCACTTGCACAAGGTCACACAGTAGGAAGTGGTGGGGCTGAGATTTGAACTCGGCTCGTCTGTGCATTGGCTTCATTCACTGTGCGGGTCCCCCTCCCTCCCCCCCCTCCCCCGCTTCCCCAGGGGCCCATGGTGCAGGGCAAGAAGTGGAGAGGTGGTGACAAAACAAAACATGAACCTAGCACTTTAGAATTTGCCAAAGGTCACACATAGATCCTGTCCTGTGGGGCAGGAGCTTGTCCCCTCTCCCTGCCATCAGATGAGGACTCTGGGGGGCTGGGGAGGGCCTGAGGCCTGGACCCTGAGGACAGAGGGGCTATACCTGCTGTGAGCGCTGGGCTCTCTCTGTCCAGGGAGCAGTGCAGCAGGAGGGACCACACTCCTTGCCATCCAGTTGCCATCCTTTCCCCTCCACCCCCCACCCCCGCCAGGCCAGCCCACTCACCTGGTTCACCCTTGGGCCCTTGCAGTCCGTCATGCCCATCCTTCCCTGGGGCCCCGGGCATGCCCGGCATTCCGGGGATGCCGTAGCATTCTGTGGCGGCCAGGCCCCCGAGAGGCAGTGCCAGGAGGAGCAGCAGCAGCAGGTTCAGTCCGAGGCAGGGCCACAGGGTGCTGGCGCCCCTGTCCATCCTGTGGAAGGAGGTGGGTGGCGGAAGCTCGGTCGGCCCACCAGCCCCTTGCCCACCTCCTCACTATCTCCCTCCAGGGCTCACCCCTCTCCGCCCTCAGGAACCTCCCTCCCGTCCCGGGAACCCTCACCCTTGGGACCACACGATGGAGGCGCAGTGGGGTCACTTCTTTGAGCTCAGAGAGGATGGGGACCCTCCTTCCTCACCAATCAGGCTGTCCCTGGGGCCACAACACAGGAAGGGGGTGGGGGAAACGCTCCCCGCTGCCCTCACCTGGACAGGGGCCCGCTCACCTGGGGTAGGAGGCTTCTGGTCTGGTCCCCGAGGTGCCCTCCGATCTGCTTCTCTCTCCCGGGCAGGAGGACACGGTGTCGGAGCGGACGGAGCGAGGAGGGCCCGGAGCGGACTGGGCGGCCCCCTCCTTCCCCCTCCCCCTCCCCCTCCCCCCCAGTCCCACATCCCCTTTCCCATGTTTTCCCTGATTCAGTACTTTCTTTCGGGTGCTGAGCCAGGCTGACCGCAGGGACACCCTGTGCCCTCCGCCCCGGTCATAAGTGTCTGCAATAAGGGAAGGTCCCCACTCTGGATCCGGGAAGGGTGTGTGCGTGTCTGTGTCCGTAAACACGAGCCTCCCGGGCAGACTTCCCCTCCGTGTGGCCAGCCCCTGACCTGGCCGTCCCCGTTTGCGGCATTCGCCGTGCCTGAGACTCAGCTGTTTCTCAGCGTCCCGGGAGGAAGTTGTGATCCCTTCACAGATGGGGAAACCTAGGCTCAGGGGGGTGCAGGCCTCGGCCCAAAGTCACGGTGTGAGTGGAGTCTTGGGGTCCAAAGCCCTTGCTCTCACCCCTCTGCTTAGCTGCCCCCAGAAACCATTCTCATATATGCACTGGTCAAGTGGCAGGACTTAATCTAGAAAATTCCATACGCCCCCCCCCCCATGTTAGTTGGGAGGTGGACACCCAGATGGGCAAGCTTTGATGGCAGGCAGCCTGCTGTGTTGGACAGAGTCCTTTGGCTCCAGAGCCGGGCGGCTTCTGGGTCTCCTTCCAGCCATGCCACCCCTTTCCCTGAGGCCTTCAGCAAACCTCTGACACCCCCACTCCCCTGGGGCCCCAGCCTCCGGCCTGTGTGCTGGGTGGCGGGGAGGCCGGGGCTCTGCATGGTGGCCCCTCTTCCTCTGCCCCGGCCCCTGAGGGCCTCACCTCTCCTTCCTCACCACCTCTTCTTCCCCACCCCCAGCACCCCACCTTTGGTCTTGGTGGGGTTGCCAGTGGGGTCGAGCTGGCGGAGCTGAGTGAGGCCCCCTCCTCTCTTTAGAGTCATGGAGGAAGGAGGTGTTGGGCTGCAGAGGGTCCAACCCTGACCCCACTCCCGCCCCCTATGTCCCTCGTGCCGGTTCCTCCTCTGTAGATGGGGCAGGGAGGGGTCAACTAGCTCCGCGCAGGGTAGTGTGAAGACTGTCTGACAGATGTACCCATGATACTTAGCCCTGCCTTGGGCATGAGCAGGGGTTCAGAGCCCTGCCCCTGCCCCCCCAGCTGACCCTCAGGACCACAGCTTCCCCCTCTGTTCCTCCGAACGCAGGCACGGGGCTGCAGAGGGGGGACAAGAGCGAAGAAGTGAGTGCCCCTGACCCTGAGCGTCTGGGGCAAATGGATGGATGGCACCTGAGCGCCATCTTCCTCGCCTCCTTCACGCCTGGGTCTGGTGTGTCCAGCAGATGGCAGCCTCGGCCCGCGCTCAGGTTTCCCCGCCCCGCTCGCCTGGCCCGGCTGTCTCCCTTCCTCCCAGAGCGCAGTGATTTGCCTCCCCAGAGGCGGGCAGGTAGGGGTGGCCTTTAGGGTAAGGAGCCGGCCGCAGCCACGTTCCTGTAGCCTGGTCTTTTTGCCACTATGGGGCTCCCCCACTGACATTTCCTTTGGGGCCCGCTGCCGTGAAAGAACCTCCACTTTGGGGTCAGGCAGAGCTGGTTCAGATGGAGGCCCTGCCACTCTCTGGCATGGTGACCTTGAGTCAATGTCCCCCTTCTCAGAGCCCGTGTCCTCGTCGGCGTTGCTGGGATTACACACATCAGTGACCATAAAATGTCCGGCACACAGGAGGTGCTCAAGGCCCTGTACCTTTTCCCAGTCCGCGGTGGGGGTGTTCCTGGGGCTGGGGGCCTGCTGGGGCAGAGCAGGAACCCAATGGGGCGCCGAGGGCCTGTGGAGTTCATCGCTGCCCCGCGGGCACCTGGGTCACTCTCTTCTTCTGACTCCCAAAGGTTGTTGGGGGGCAGCCCCAAGAGAGGGTCCTGACTGTTGGAGACAGAGGTGGGGGGGCGGTGTGCATACGTGAGACTCCGAGGCTGCTTGTGTGTCTGTCAGTGGATGGGAGAGATGGTCCCTGGGAGGTGTCAGCACGTGTGGAGGTCAATGTGTGAGCAAACATGGGCATTTCTAAGGCACATGCATGCTGGAGTGGAGGATATGTACGTCTGCATGTCAGGGGTGTGTCCGGACACCCGTCTTAAGGTGTGTGTGTGTGTGTTTCAGAGTTACTTCTGATGGTTTACAGGGAACACTCAGGTGAATGAGGCAGGGGTGTGTGGGTATGACGGTGCATGTATCCCCAGGGTATGAAGGCATAAGTCATGTGGATGTTCAAGAATGTACATGGGTGTGTCTAGGAAAGTGGGCGTGTGCTGAGGGAGGGGATCATGTGTTCGTGTTTCAGTGAGGAGTGGACAAGTCTTGGTCCAGGAATGTGGGTCCCTGTGGGTTTCACGGGAGGTGTACATGGATGCTGTGGTATGGTGTGTGTGTGTGTGTGTGTGTGTGTGTGTGTGTGTGTGTGTGTAGCGTGGTGTGTGTGTGGTGTGTATGCATGCCTGGTGTGTTTGTGTGTAGCATGGTGTGTGTGTGGTGTGCATGCATGCCTGGTGTGTTTGTGTGTAGCGTGGTGTGTGTGTGGTGTGTATGCATGCCTGGTGTGTGCACATGTGTGTGCATACATGCAGCATAGAGATAAAACCACTTCCTCTGGGGAAATGCACAGGCCTTGGGCATGTTCAGGACTGCACTTCTGGTCTCCTTGTTCGCCTCGCAGACAAAGGACACGCTGGGGCTTCTCGCTCCTGGCAGCTCCCGGACTGGCCACGTGGGAATGAGCCACAGACATTGCAGATCCACTGTGCTCCCCCTGCCCCGCCTCCACACCTGCCAGGATGGACCAGGGCTGGACTCAGGAAGCTGCCTTTGGGGAGGGCTGCTGGGTGCCCTGGGCCAATGGTGCCCCCTCCCTGAGCCCTGCCCAGCCTCTCTGGGTCCATGTGGAAAGCACTGCCATGGTCAGTGTGTGGCCGTGGAGGCTGACGAGGGGAGCGGTTAAACACACAGGCTTGGGCCCTCGGAAGGCCTGGAGTCATATCCCAGCTCCTCCCCTTGCACACTGACCTGGGCTTTGTGTCTGGCCCCAACTCCCAGCCTCAGTTTTATTGTCTGCAAAATAGGGTCAAAATGCCCACTTCAGAGCTCGATGGCAAAGATTACACAAAATGCAATAACAGCTAAAACTGACATAGCCTTCATGAAGAACCAGGCTCTGGACTGCAACTTTCACACATTAAATCATTTCATCTTCCAACAGCTCTTGGAGGTGGGTGCTATTATCCTTCCCACCTTACAGTCTAGAAAACTGAGGCTCACGGATGTTACATAACATGCCCACGATTGGACAACCAGTACACGGTGGCCCCGGGATTTGAACCCGGGCCTCTGAGGCTCCCAGGACCTGTCAGATACGTATTGCAAAATACCGAGATTGGGCCTGCCTTGTAAGCACTCAACAACAGTTGCCATTCGTATGCCTCCCTCCCAGTGCCCAGGGTAGCAACGGAGCCTCACAGAGCCAGCAGACGGGGACACAGGTATTTATTATTTATTCCAGGAAGAGTTCTAAGAAACGATCTCCCCCCAGCTCAAACAACAGCGCCCCCACGGGACAGAGCAGAGCGCAGGACCAGAGAGGCGGAGCGAGTGGGCCGGGGTTGCACAGCGGGGAGCAGGGGAGGCCGGCGGAGAGGGGTCCCCCGGCTCAGGAGGAGGGGAAGATGAGGAAGCCGCTGAAGACACTGTCGGCCTCGGGGCCCTGGTAGATGCGGCCCTTGACGGGGTCTTTCTCGATCCAGACCTGGTCCCCGTTCTGCAGCTGCAGCACGGAGCCCCCCGACACCACCTGGAAGGTGCCCCGGCTGTTGGTGTCGCAGAAGCCCACGGAGCTGGCGGTCAGGCCCCGCCGGGTGGACATGATGGACAGGCAGATGTCCCACTTGGACACCACCTGGAAGGTGAAGTAGTAGTAGCCGGGCACGGCGCACACGAACCGGCCCGAGTGGCTCTGGTAGCGGCCCTCCTCGTTGGTGATGACCGTGTCGAAGATGACCACGTTGCCCCCGCCCGCCGGCGGGTTCCGCCTCGCGGCCGAGAAGGCGGGCCGCGGCTGGGCGTTGATGTCTCCCGGGTTGCCCTTGATGCCCTTCAAGCCTGGGGAGCCGGGGTTACCCATGGGGCCGCTGGGTCCTGGGAAGCCCATGTTGCCGGGGATGCCAGGGGGTCCCGGGTCCCCCTGGTCCCCTTTAAGACCGCGGATGCCTGTCCGGATGCCGGGGGCCCCTGTGGGAGGAAGGCCGGATGGGCGGTGAGAGTCCAGCGTCTGCCCATCCTCAGGCAGGTGGCTGGGACCCCGAGATGCTGTGGGAGGGCGGAGAGGGGAGTGCCTGGGCCTTTAAGACAAGGAGGCTGGCTGGCTCTGTGAGCTTGGACACCTCAGCCTCTCTGAGCCTCAGCTTCGTTCTCCAGAACATGGAGAGACGTGGGAGCAGGCACTTGGGAGGGGGTCAGGTTCTGTGAAAAGCAGGACACTGGCTCCTCCACGTGCTTCTGGCCGTGGCCCTGCACTCCACACCTCACGGCCACTGACCCTGACCCCACTGACCCTGACCCCTTCTGTTTCAGGGACCCCACAAACTGTTACAAACGCCTCTGCAAAGCTTGCTGGTCTGCTGTGCCCTGGGAGTCTCAGGGAACTGTAGGCGACATTCCTTTCCCATCTGGTCACGTCCTCTCCCCTTTCCTTCACCCCCAGGCTTTCCCCTGAATCTGAGAGTTTTTGAAGCCCGAACGGAGGGGGGAGCAGGGCTGGGGAAGGGGCAGGTGGAAAAAGGATAGTTACCATTAATTGATCCCTCCCTCTGTGCCCGGTGGGGTTGGTTCCCTATCTTACAGATGAGGAAACTGAGTCTCAGAGAGGGCCACACAGCAAACCCAGGCTCCTGAGTCTAAAACCTGAGTCAGCACATCCTGGTAACGGAACAGTGGCCGAGGCCTGGGCATGCTTCAGACCATTCGTATTCATTGGGCATGCTGCAGACCCATTCCCCAGAAGAGGAAGGTGAGGCCAAGGAAAGAGGCCCCAAGGCCGTAACGAGGACAGGGAGAGGCCTGGGGGGCTGGGGACATGGTCCGGGGAGAAGGCCAGGCCCTCCTCAGGCCTTAGGCCCAAATACAGACTGGAGGAGCTTTATGTGGGGGTCCAGGTGGACTCCTGCTTTTTGGAAGCCTCCTCTCTGGAGCCAGGCCAAGGAAAGGGATGAGGGACTGGGGTCCAGAGGGAGGTACTTACCTGGCTCCCCTCGCTCCCCCTTGAGGCCTGGCCGCCCGGGTCGACCAGGATTTCCTGGAGCCCCGTCCCTCCCATCCGGCGCTCGGCACACGTTCTGGGTCACCGTAGAGGCCAAGGACATGGCCAGCACACCAACCATGAGCCAGCCCCGGGGGGCGTCCATGATGCCACTGTAGAGACACGGCAGGGCTTGGGCAGGCTGGACAGCACACACACACATCCACTGAATCTCTCTCTCTCTCTCACACACACACACACACACACACACATCCCACCACCTCCCGTGCACACCTCCCTGCTCCAGGGATTTCTATGTCCACCTCCATCCAGCTCCAGGGAACCTAGACCTTATATAGAACCATGAACACACAGATACACACATGCCACTGAGCATGCCCACGTATTCACACACTCAGACACACAAGCAGCCTCTCACTCACACACGTCTGGACGTTCACACTGACACCCACCCCTCGCTCACCTGGACACACACACGTTCACATACTCCCACAGATGACCAGTTCCATTGAACAAGAATTGATTGAGAGCCTGCTTCTCACTTAACAATCCCTCACCTGCATGGCAGAGCTGTGCAAGCACACAGGCATTCACAAGCACCTGACACAACATGTCTGCTCACTCCCCTCCATACTCGCCCCCCTTCAGGCTGACGGGCACCCACGGTCCTCCTCTGTGGGCCCCCTCTGCCGGGCTCGGAACCTCCCAGCCTTTAACTAGCTTCTTGTAATTTGGGGGGATCAGGACCCAGAGACTCTGGTTAGAGCTGATGGGTCTGTGTCTCCCCATCTCCCACTATCTCCCCAAGTCCAAGGAATTAAGGTCCCCCTACTCGCTGATTCTGGGACCTAAGTCGGCACCCCACCCAACCCCGTCCTGGCACAGACCGGCTCTGCCTCCCTGACAGCCTCCGTGGGCAGCTCCCAGGCCCGCTCCCCTGGCTCTGACCTCACAGCCCCCCCCACTCCGGCGCCGGCCTCACCTGCCGCGGGTGGTCGACTCAACTGGATGCTCCCGCTGTTCACCCAGGACTCTGTGGGACGCCCGGCGGGACGGGGCCGGCCACCGGCCAAGTTTCACATCCCTTCCCACTTCCCCTTCTCCTTCTCCGGACCTGCCCTGCATTGCCCTGGGGGCCAGGGGCCGGCCTGGGACATTTTGAGCTGACCTCAGCAAGAAAGGGACATTGCACATCCTACCCCGAGGCACAGTGGGTGTGGAGGCAGGGACGGCAGGCTGCCAGGACAGAGGGCTGTGGAGGAGGGGCCTCTGGGTGGGGTGGGTAGAGCCAGAGACGCACAACACATTAGGGTGGAAGGAACTTATAAGACCTTTTTAGGGTTTGAAAGCAACAGCGTGCATTCACTGTCAAAAGCTTGTAAATACAGCAAGGCACAAAGGAAGGAGAACAGAGCTTTGTAACGAGCAGCGGAGTCATCAGCCTTCTCGACCTGCCTCTTCCTCGCTGCACACCCTTGGAAAGAGACTTCACCTCCGGGGGCCTTGGGAGCAGCAGATTCTCAGCCTCATCGGATCGCTAGAGAGTCTTAGTGATAAAATACACATACAGAACATTGGGCACGTGGTGGATGCTTCATGATTCGCTTTTACCCACATTTACGAAGCAGCGACAAAGCCCACGCATCCTACCATCGAGGGGATTGCTGCGAATGCTTGGAGGACTCACCTAGCCTGGCTCACGCCCACTGCTGGGGTGCTCGCCACCTGCCAGCACAGCTCACGCCATCACTGCCACGTGGACCCCGAAAAAGCTTTTCTTAGAGTCGCGACCTGTCTCTCCCAGACTGGAGGTCGATGTGTTTCAGCCTGGGCTGACCATGTCTTTCTACTTCTTCCCATGACCATGTTTTTCTGTGTTGTTGTTGTTTTTTTCTGAGAAATTCACCAGAGCGAGGCGGAGGAGAAAAAGGAAGGCTGCTATACACAGGCAGAAGAGGTTGGTCTAGGGCCAGGTTTTCAAGCTTTTGTAACTTCTTTTTTTATTTTTATTTGCAATCTTGTATAGCAACCATGTGAATACATGTCAATTTTTTTTTTTTGGTAGCTTATTAATGAAGGAACCAGCAGGGTGACAAAGCTAGTTCAATGAGGAATCTGAGAAAAAAAAATATACCTATCTATGGAGAGGGTGAGCTAGTACAAACAAAAACAACAGTAAAAAAAATAACACAAGAATTCTAGAATATTCATAAAGTTGCTAAGTGAGATACAAAACTGGCCAGTGTCCTCCAGGCCAATAAAGTCATAATGCTGGGGTTATCTTCTGTATGGGAAAGCAATCATTTGCATCGCCACTGGACAAAAATAATTTGCAACTTATCAGTTTTATCCCAGCTACTAGCTATCTTTTCAGAGCCTCGGCCCAATCAATAGTAAACAATAAGTCGAGCCAAGTGACATTCCCCTGGCGTGCAGGACGACCCTTAGGAGGGCTTGTCAGACACGGCTCTCCTCTGACTTTGAAAGGACAGTAGTTATCTATTATTTGCTTTATTTCCAAGGGATGAGGTTACTTATCAGGCGGTTGCAAGAGTCTGGACACTTCCCAAGAAATACAAGGCATCGATAGTAATGAACATGTCATTGGTGTGAGAAGAGAAAGGGTCCATGACAATGGCACACGGGCATCTTCCGTCAGAGCAAACAGCTCCCATTTCTCCAGAGCTCAGCCAGGGGCCGGGAGGCGGGAGGAGGGAGGAGAGGGAACCTTATCCTACTCCTGGAGCCCTCATCCAGGGCCCCTCATCCCTTCTGGGCCTAACGAATAACCAAAAAAATCATCCCTAGCTCCAGTCGGTTTGGCTTGGTGGACAGAGTGTGGGCCTGTGGAGTGAAGGACCCCAGGTTCCCAGGTTCAATTCCTGTCAAGGACACATGCCCAGGTTGCAAGCTCAATTCCCAATAGGGAGGCATGCAGGAGGCAGCCAATCAATGGTTCTCTCTCATCATTGATGTTTCTATCTCTCTCTCCCTTCCTCTCTGAAATCAATAAAAATAGTTTTTAAAAAATCACCTCTAAATGACTCCAGTTCTTTCTAGGGGAGTCACATCTCACTCAAGAGCTGGGTTCCAAAGTCAGCACATTGGACAAAAATTGTAAATGGTAAGTATTAGTGTTGGAGGAAAAATACTTAGGAAAGTGCCCTGTTGGAGACTATATTGCCATTTCGCAGGAGTCCTATGCTGTTACGTTTGGCTTTGACATTAGAATAGAATTCTATTTCTTTATCCGTTGGCTAAGGTGCATGCCCTTAGAGATTGGAGTCATACTCAGTGGGAGGTGTGCAGACCAATGAGGAGTTCATAGGAGCCAAAGCAGACTTGGGGACAGACTTGGGGACTGCAGGGGCAGCCAGATCTCCCCGTCCACACTCCGTGGGTCTGGAATGACAGCAGCATCCCCTTCCTCATTTAAATTGGTATCCTTATCTCTATCTCTCTCTGAATCTTATTAGGCAAAATGCAGAGAATCAAACGTGAATGGAGCGTAACTCTGAAGTTCTTGAATTTCTTTTGGTAATTAAAAAAATGGAGGTTGAATTCACATACGGTAAAATGCAGCCTTCAGTGCACTGCTCACACACCGTTTGCCACCACCCAGATCAAAATACAGACCATCCCCATCCTCCCAGCTTTGTGCCTCCTGTGTTACCCCCAAGCCCCACAGTGACCAGTGAGTTCTGACCCCCGTCACCAGCAGGGACAGAGAAGCATCGAGAATGTGTCTGTCTTCTGTGTCCGGCTTCGCTCGCGTCCCATGCTTGTGAGGTCCATCTGGCTTGGCACTGCTGAAAAGGGGTTCGTTGTGTGCATGCATCACCCTTTGCATAGCCCTTCCCCCGTTCGTGGGCATTTTGGGCGGCGATGAATAAAGCTGCTAAGAACATTCTCGTAGGAGTCCGCCTACGAGTGCTGCCCTGTGAACGTATGTGCCCCGCCTTCTGCCGTGGTGTTTGAGCACCAGGGAGTGGCATTGAGTTTACACCGACATCCCTTCCTCTCCCATCCACTGCCCTACACCTCTGTCCTCAACAGCCTCTTTCTAAAACAAACAAACAACAAATAAAACAATTCCTCCTGCACCCTCTGCCTGAACCACTTTTTCTCCCTCTCACTCCTCTTCCCCGTCTCCCTGCTCTGTATTATGAAGATTGTCTTCATTTTGTCTTTCTGGCTAAGTCCCTTCCTTCTAGGCACCTTCTGGGTCTTTCCTTCTATTCTCCATCCCTTCATCCGAAAAGATCAAGGTTTTGTTGGAGGAGGGATGTGTGGGGAAAGGGGAGGGAGCTGTCAGAGCCTGCCACACATCTTCAGTGCACATTCTTTATTCTTTGCATCTCTCTTGGCAGATAGAAGCTCTTTTGGGGACGGATTTATGAAAAACAGAGGGGATTGTAAACAACGAATAATATGTGCCTCCCATTTGCCCTGTCTGGGGCTGACAAAAACTCTTCAAGTTGTGGCTGGAGTGGCTCAGTGGTTGAGTGTCAACCTATGAACCAGGAGGTTATGGTTCGATTCCCAGACAGGGCATATGCCCAGGTTGCAGGCTCAATCCCTGCAGGCCCAGTGGGGGGTGGGGAGGTGCATGCAGGAGGCAGCCGATCAATGACTCTCTCTCATCATTGATGTTTCTATTTCTCTCTCCATCTCCTTTCCTAGCTAAAATCAATGAAAACATTTTTTAAAAAATATATTTTATTAATTTTTTTACAGAGAGGAATAGAAAGTTAGAAACATTGATGAGAGAGAAACATCGATCAGCTGCCTCCTGCACACCTCCTACTGGGGATGTGCCTGCATCCAAGGTACATGGCCTTGACTGAAATCGAACCTGGGACCTTTCAGTCTGCAAGCCAATGCTCTATCCACTAAGCCAAACCGGTCAGGGCCAATGAAAACATTAAAAAAAATAATAATAATAAAACAAAACAAAACAAAACAAAAGACATTGTGGCCAGGCTTCAGATCAGTGTGGTTTGTTCCTAACCCAGGGTGGGCACTGAGCAAGTCCCATCTCCTCCTTCTTCCCGCTCCTGCCACTAGGGGGCCAGGGCCTGGCGCGGCTGAGAAGGCCTCCACCCCTCCACCAGGCCCAGCCAGAGCCCAGCCTCCTGGCTGCCC